GCTCACCACAACCTCTGCCTCCTGGGTTCAAGTGATTATCCTGCCTCTGTTTGTTTGTTTGCTTTTCTAACTAGCATCTTCTGGCCAGTTTTTTGGCTTTCATTTGTTCGAAATGATCTATGAATACAGAATAGCAAAATGGATAGCATTATAAGCAGTTTTATGTTTTACTAAGATTCAGTGTCCCTTAAGTGACTGGAAGCACTCAGAAAGTCTTCTAAGACATGGGATGCTTACACAAGTCGCTAGCCTTAGCAGCAGTTACACATTGCCAAAGTTGAGTTTAGAGGCCACAAAAGTCAAACTGTACATAAAGACAAAAGTAATTTTTTGACTCGTTTCTTTTATGTGAGTGATAGCAATTAGATTAGCGGTTTATAGCACTGGGTCAATAGTCAAGAGGGGGCTTAGTCTTAGGAGACAAGACATCTTTGGATCTCAGTTTCTTTATCTGCCTTTTGCAACCATGGTCACGTTAATCTATGCCAAATTTTAACTAGATTTTAATTCAATGGAACAGAAAATGTAATGGTTTGGTTTATTTCATCTGTAACAAGCATTCAAAAAGTTGAAACTTTTCTCCGAGTCATCTGAAGATTGCCAGAATTGCCGGGCACAGTGGCTCACACCTATAACCCCAGCACTTTGGAGGCCAAAGCACATGGATCACAATGTTAGGAGTTCAAGACCAACTGGGCCAACATGGTGAAACCCCATCTCTACTAAAAATACAAAAATTAGCTGGGCATGGTGGTGGGCACCTGTAATCCCAGCTACTTGGGAGGCTGAGGCAGGAGAACTGCTTGAACCTGGGAGGTGGAGTTTGCAGTGAGCTGAGATCATGCCACTGTACTCTAACCTGGGTGACAGAGCAAGACTCCATCTGAAAAAAAAAAAAAGATTTCCTAGAACAATTCCAAATGTCATCTTACAATAAATTTATGAACACCCAGTGGTCCTGGATCTGCCCCCGAGGTCACTCAGATCAGCTGATATTAGGGTAAAGCATATCCTGAAAATTGTCAGGGAATAAAATCATTGAATTGGAAAGAACGAAGTTCAGTCTTCTTCCCAATGCAGAAAATTACTTTTCAACAATTCTGAGAAAGGCTCAATAGCCTCTTCCTGAACCCATTCAATGACGGACTCTCATCATCACAGAACACAACCCAATTTTTTGTCATTCTTGCCTGCAGAGCAAGGCTCTGAGCAACCATCCACTCCAAATTTCCAGGAAGGAGTACCTAGTCACTGCAAGAATCCAGAAAGTTCCATGGCACAGGGAGTAAACTATATTCATTCAGCATTCACAGTATATTGCACTAGGTGCTAAGAATATAGAGGTGAATAAGGCAACAAGTAACCTGTATTGGAGGAATGAATAGAGAGATTTATGGAGTCCAGTAGAGAAATCACAGTCTACATATGACCTGGAGTGATTCCAATACTGTAAACATATACCTCTCATAGTCCTGGATTTGCCCCTGGAAGTAACACAAGTTCACATCAGATTAAAATAATAAAGCATACCCGAAAGCAATTGAGCCAATATGCTCAGTTTGAGTAGAGGAGTTAGGGACCCAGCAGGTATGAATTCTAGTATTTACAACCACCTAGCTGATAGTCTTGAGTCTCCTACTTAACCTTTCTAAGGCCTCTGTTTTTTTCACCCACAAATTGAAAAGCTTGAATTACTTTAACCAACAGTATACATCACAAATCAAGCAACAAGAGCTCTATAAGACTTATAATCTTTCGTAAAACCCATCTTATCAACCACTACCAATTTAAAATCCCTGACTAAATGATTAAGGAGACTTTAAGCTCTAAAATTCTATGATTTTAGACTTGAAGAGTAGTTCTCCCAACATCACTATCTGCTGACTTATGGCAGACTTGCTTAGAAGGCACATACTCCTTGGGGTTGTTGTTAGTTGTCATAAAAATTCAAATTCACTGAAGATATTTAAAAATATATATCACAAGCTCTAGAAGCAATTCCAAAGAAGGTGCTCTAAAAAGTCTAAGTAAAAATATAGGTATCAGAGTTAGAATAAACACGTAATTTCCCAAGATGACTACTTTTATCATTTACATATATACATTCTGATATTTACCTTTTTTCTTTCTTATATTATAAATTTTTTTCTTAGATAAGACATTCTGTTACTTACTAACACAGCCACATTTACCTAATGTAAGTTCTTACTGTGTCTTCCTGTAAGAGAAAGTATTAGTCTATTAAGAGCCACAGAGTCTCATTTTTGTCCATTTGCGACCCCTCCCCCAAAAAAAAGCCTATCCAAAGAGAATCTAAAATAACATGAAATTCAGAGATAATTATATATTTCTACTTAGACTTTTCCAGCTCTCCCTTCTTACCAGTTCTCTGATCCATATTGGGTTCCTGTGCTGAGTAAATACTGGAATTTGGTTGGATCCTTGCTAAATTCCAAATATTCTGTATTGTGATTAGGTTTTAACTTGGATTCGTGTTTGATTTCTACTGATTCAAGGTGAGCTAAAGAGCCACCAGACCTTGTAAGGCTACTTCCCACAAGCATATACTTTTTTCCCCTAAGAATCTAGAGATCTTATCACCTTTTTTTTTTTAGGAAAAAAGAAGTTATTTGTTTAGCACATATTACTTCTGATTACGTCATGGTCTTAAGAGTATTTTCTGCTTAAGTCATTGCTGTTAAAAAAAAAAAAGAGTATTTTCAAACATTCTCCATTCATGTGATGTTTCAATAAGATTCAGCATCATTGCCTAAGATACTCTATTGAGTTAGCCCAGTAGATTGAATCCTGGTATAACCGACATAATTCCTTTTTCTCTGAGCCAACTCTAGCCAACCCAGCAAACTTAGCTTGAGTTACAGTCAGTCACCAAGGTGGACTATCAGTGAACTTCCCCAACCCACATGAAACTTTGTGAATAGGGACAACATTTTATCTTATTCCCCCCATACCATCTAGCATAGCTCCAGGCACATAGCAGACGTGAAAAAAAAAAAAAAAACTTTTCTAAAAAGAGATACTGACTCACACTCCCTTTAAGCTTCTTTGACCTTACTCCTTGCTTATGAAAAGTTTATATAAATCAAGTATGAATAAATAGAACATTATTATCCTATTGACTTTTATCAACCTTAAAATGATAATGACCTCTTATACTTTTGCTTGATATGTCTTTATGTCACAATATTTCAGCTTAGTAGTTAATTATCTAGTAAGTACAACTGGAGACCAATCTAGTGAGATAGAGTAATAACCCCCATTAAATAATTACCTGCCAATGTCTTATAGAGTCATGTATTCATATTTCAGATTTTCTCAAACTTGAGAATACTAGTAAAAATGACCAAAACTATCTGTCAAAAGAATGTTATCAACTGAAAAATATTTTTTTCATTCACTGATCCTACAAATTCTCTGTTTCACTTCTCTTTTATTTTCTATAGGCATTAATGCTTTTAAAGGCCAGTACTTTCATAGCCGGCAATACAAGCATCCAGATATATTTAAGGACAAGAGAGTCCTTGTGATTGGAATGGGAAATTCTGGCACAGACATTGCTGTGGAGGCCAGCCACCTGGCAAAAAAGGTACCATTCCTGATGTTACTGGGTGAAGAGCTTTGTCTTAAGATGCATGCCTCAAGCAAATGGTGTTTGACACCATGATAAATGTTAAAGAAATAAAATGCCTCACATACACACAACAGACTGCTAAAGAATTTAATTTTCTCTGAATGCTCACAAATTTTACTATGAATTCCATTTGTTCACCTTTCCTCCCAAAACCAACTTCTCTGACTTCTTTTTATTTTTTTTTTTTTTGGTCAGTCATCCAACAAGAGCTACAGGACATATTTCTTCTCTACTCAGTCCCATAATTCAGAAAATTCTACCAACTTTTTCCTGCTACTATTTCCCATTTGCCCCTTCCTCTCCTTATTTATTACCAACACCCTCATCAGGTCCATACCACCTCACACTGAGGCTATTGCATTGTCCTCCTAATAATAATTGCAGAAACAGCTAATATTTATTAGGATTACTCTGTGGCCAGTACTGCACTAAATGCATTTTTACTCTATTACTTTAACCAATCATCAAAACAAGCCACTGACATAGGTACTGTTAGTATCCTTGACTACACATGAGGAGACCAAGGCTTAGAGGAGCTAAAGAACCTGCATGAAATCTTATCACTAGCAGGTGGCAGAGCCGGTTCTCAAACTGTCTCTGACTCAAAGCCTACATTCCTAACTATCCTCTTCTACCTCCTACTTCCGGGCCTTCCGGGCTTCTCAAGGGTTTTGCTCTGCATTTTATTTTTGCCTTGTACCCCTACCCACAGGTCACCCCCATCTGCAACAAGCCATCTAGACCCCAACTACCAACAAAACAAATCCTCAGAAAAGTCTTCTCTCATTCTAGCACTCTCATGCTTAAAAAACCTCTAATTACTCTCTTTACCTGAAAAAAATAAATTGCAGATGTAGTAGCTCTGCATCATAGAGTTTTCTATAATCTGGTCCAAATCTGCCATTTTAATTTTAACTTCTGTTTCCTGTATGATAATCAACTGTCACACTTTCCAGTCCCTGTGCCTTCAGTTCCCCTTTGCTCACGCTACCACTCTCTTCTCCAGAGCCCCTTTCTCTTCTATTACAATCTACCTTTACATTCCCAGGTATCTCACACCAACATGAAGTGATCTATCCCTATTCAGAATTTATGCAATATTGTAATTTGCACCCCTCAGTCATCACTTTTAAATTGTTAATATTGCAAGTTACCTTTTACCATATGTATCTTCTTTTCACCTATGTTGTAAACTCATTGAAGGCCATTCAGCTAACTAATATATACTAGTTCCTGGCTTCTGATGTGCCAAACATTGTGCCAGGCTCTGGAGATACACTGGCAAACACAACAACAAAATCAAGATACCCACACTCATGGAGCTTATAGTTGTGGGAAAAACAGATGCCAAATAAATGAGTGTAAATAATTAATCCAATAATTTTAGACAAGAAAACAGCTGTCAAGAAAAAAGGTTGGGAGTGTGTAACATTGACATCCCTTTTCCAGACTTTCAAAAAAAAAAACTCAATGATTGACTTATTCATTGAAAGATTGTATTTTGGTTTTGTTTGTTGTTTGTTTTTGTAGAGACAGGTTTTTGCCATGCTGGCCAGGCTGGTCTCAAACTCCTGGCCTCAAGTGAGCCACCCGCCTCAGCTTCCCAAAGTACTGGGATTATAGGCATGAGCCACTGTGCCTGGCCCATTGACTGACTGATTGATTGACTGATTGAAACTTAGCAATTAGGTGGCATTACCCTAAAGGAAGAGAAAGGAGGCCCTGAAACAAATATTAACAAAGGCCCATCCACTGTGACCACCACATGTGCATATTATTATTTCTGTTTCTCTAATTGTTCAGAAATGTCTTCAATCAGAAAACATGCTTTGACATACATCTTATCATTTATATATTAACAAAGAAACTCCCCGTAACTTAGAAGATAATTCGTATCTAGCGAAATGTTGCATTCAATTCTGCATCATGATATAGAGAGACAGGTTTAGTGTAAATGCCTCATGTCAGAGCCACGTATCTGTAGTTCTTGCCACCGCATTTCCAGTGTTGTATATTCAATTTAACACAAACTCTGACACTGGAGCCGTGGTCATCAAGCCCCATGACATGGGGGAAGAAACAATGGTTAAATCAGCTGTTTTGTAACAGCAAAGTAACAGATTGCTTAACTAATTATTTGCTTTGTAAACAATTGTACAGATAACTATTTATTGTATAAGTACTAAAACTAGTAGCTTCATGAACTCAGTCAACTGGTAAACTCAATCAGCCAATGTTAAAAAGAACAAACACCAAAAGTAACTGTAGTACTGAATTTTCCTGTCATAAGCCAATGGTTTGCATTGAAACTCTGTAGACAGCTTTGATACTGCCATGCCCTGTTCTTGCTGCCTACAATTACAGTGAGCACACAAGGTAGCAATCACCTGTTCATTGTTTTCGTACATAGACTTTAAGGTTCCTACTGTTTGCTACAGGCTGGCAAATGAATAAGTATTCAATAATATGTCTTAAGGCATTTTAACACTCTAGATACTCCGAATCCTAATTCAAAAGGATTGACTTTAAAATAGAAGTTAGAAGAACCAAGACTATCTTGTCAGGGATGTATTTTGAAAGTGGCAGACTTTTCAGTGCCTTTCCATTCATGACACTTCTTGAATCTCTGGCAGAACCAGCCAACCCTGTTCATAGCGTCAAATGAAGGGATGTCTTTAATTGCTTCCAGGTGTTCCTCAGCACCACCGGAGGGGCATGGGTGATCAGCCGAATCTTTGACTCAGGCTACCCATGGGACATGGTGTTCATGACACGATTTCAGAACATGTTGAGAAATTCTCTCCCAACTCCAATTGTGACTTGGTTGATGGCGCGAAAGATAAACAACTGGCTCAATCATGCAAATTATGGCTTAATGCCAGATGACAGGTAAATATAATGTGACTGCCAAGGGCTTTTAGGAAGAAGGAGCCTCTGCCTTTCCAGCAGTCTGTACAAGCCAGCAGTACCACAGTAACAACTTTGTATCAAGTGTTCCAACACATTCAGCCATGTTACAGTGTGCAGTTTTTAAAGTAATACCCCAAGGCTATCGCTGTTGTTCCAGACAAATCTGCCACAAATGCTGGTCCATTGTCTGATCCGATGCACAGTGGCAGTCCAAACCTAGGGATAAGATCTCGAAGCAGCACACGGGTTACTTCATGGGCCTTTTTTTTGTACAGTGCTCCATGTACTTGGAGAGTCAGAAAGGCATATCGCAAATCAGTGTAAATGTTTACAACCTTATTCTTACTTAGCTCTAGTGCTCAAGTCAGAGCAATGAGTTCAGCCTTCTGAGCTGAGGTGCTTTGAGGCAGTGACTTGGCTTTAATTACAATGTCCAGAGTTGCCACTGCATAGCCTACACACCTTTCTCCTTGTGGATTAATAAAACTGCCCCAATCCACATACAACTCCCAGTCTACTACTGTCCATGGCTGATCCCGAAGATCAGACCTGCTGGAATAGACTGAGCCCAAGACTTCAACACAGTTGTGTTCAACCGGGCCCTCTAACATTGGGAGCAAAGTGTCAGGGGTTTAAGGTGTTGCAGACCTCAATGGCAATGCGGAGATTTTTACTTTAGCAGGCCCAGGTATTTGGCAGGCCTACCAATGAGGTCTTTTGATATTCATTAGAGTCGCCACTGTGTGGGGTGCTTTAATATTTAAATTCTTCCCAGAGTTGAGGCTAGAATCTTTAATTGCAATTTCTCTTCTTTCTTTTTTTTTTTTTTTTTTGACCTATACAGCATGAAATGGCTTTGTTAAATCGGCTAGCCCCAAAGCCAGGGCTGACAGAAGTTTTGCTTTTAGTTTCTGCCCTATTCAAAGGGTTTCTTGTCTTCCCCACCCTTTGTCACTTTGTGTAAGGGTTTGTCCAGTACTGCGGAGTCTGGAAGTCCACAATTTACAAAACCCATGGCTCCCAGGAGCTCTCTCACCTGCCTTTTAGTCTCAGGTTCTGGCAGGTTGCAAAGGAGCTTGTTTCCTCTCTGCTTCTGGATGATGAGCCTCAGATATTGCATTTGCTTTTTGGCAAATCTCGGCTTTCTTTTTAGACACTTTATACCCACAGTCCTCCAGGTGCCGAAGTAAGACATCTGCTTGCACACCTGACTGCTGTGGGGTGTCCCAATAGAAGGTTATCAGTATACGGGGACAGCATGCAAGCGAGAAACTTCTGGGGAGCAATCACGGGCTGATGCCTCGCCAAGGATGATGAGAGAGTTTCTGAGCCCCTGGGAAGCTGGGTCCAAGTGTACTGAGTGGTTACACCTGCTTCTGGGTTTCTCCCATTGAAATGCAAATAGTTTTTGATCAGTAGTTTCCCCAAGACCAAACCTGCCACCTACAGGAAGGAGATTCAGGAGGCATCAGCTGGCCTGCTCTCTCTTCTATTGAGATGCACTGTGGATGACAGAGGGGGGAGGGAATCCCAGATGCTTGGGTCTCCTTCCTCATCATCTCTCTAATGGCAGAGTCTTCTTCCCCTTGCCAAGCAAGATTGACCTTGGCCCCATAAATGGCTCAGTTTATACAAGATCAACTCACCAAAGTGTTTGTCTCATGATTCCAAAGGTAGAGCCAGAAAAAGATGATTCTACCCTTGTTCCTTTAAAATACATGCATGTTTCCCTTACACAACTGCTTCCTAGGAAAAGAGAATAGATCTTTCAGAAGTTCTCATCAAATCTAGAAGTCCTTGGTTTCCCTTGTAGCCCTTCAGCTCTCAGCCCTCTCTAGATTGACACCGATAGATGAATGCTGAAAATCAGCAAAGGAAACAGAAGCTAGAGAAGGTGCTAGCTTCCTCCTCAGGCTTCCAAACTCTAGTAAATGGCAAGCGTATTTTATAATCCTTCTTGAATGTTCATGAATCCCCTTCCACTGAAGTAACGTTTCCCAAGACGTGCAGCAATTCTTGTCCAATCAAGGAGTGAGCCCCAGAATGACAGAGGAAGGTAAGGAGAAGAGAGAGCTGGCTGCATTGTTCACAGACAGGTCTCTTCCCTATCCATGTTTTTTGTTTAGGACTCAGCTGAAAGAGTTTGTGCTAAATGATGAGCTACCAGGCCGTATTATCACTGGGAAAGTGTTCATCAGGCCAAGCATAAAAGAGGTGAAGGAAAACTCTGTCATATTTAACAACACTTCAAAGGAGGAGCCTATTGATATCATTGTCTTTGCCACTGGATACACATTTGCTTTCCCCTTCCTTGATGAGTCTGTAGTGAAAGTTGAAGATGGCCAGGCCTCGCTATACAGGTATATCTTCCCTGCACATCTGCAAAAGTCGACCCTGGCCATTATTGGTCTCATCAAACCCTTGGGTTCCATGATACCCACAGGAGAAACACAAGCTCGGTGGGCTGTTCGAGTCCTGAAAGGTAAGTGTAAGAAATAGCAGGGCATGTGTTTTTGGTTTGCCATATGATTCTAGATACTGGAAATATTGAGACTATTATCCAGCTCCTATTTAAAACAACAGAATCTTTAAAAGCAGGATGCATTCCATTGTTTGCTGCATTATACTGTCATAATGATTTATTCCATTACCAGCATAAATGGTATATGAGGGGTCAAAACTATAGGCTGTATCTATGTCTACCATTTTTTCTCATTTTCTTTTTAAGAGACAGGGTCTCACTATGTTGACCAGACTCGTGTGCGGTGGCTATTCATAGGCATGATCATAGATTACTGCAGCCTGAAACTCCTGGTCTTAAGCAATCCTCCCACCTCAGCCTCCTGAGTAGCTGAGACTACAAACATGCACACTGTACTCAGCTACCTGTTATTTTGACTAAAACAAAATGACAATTAACAGTTCTATCAGTTGACTGAATCAACTGCTTTAATCAAAAATTTTAAACACAAGCAACTGAGTGACAAAATTCAGCCAAACTAGTTGTAAGATTCTGCCATATCAATTAACTAGTGAGATGACCAGATGTTTATCTTTTCAGCTGACGGCATTATTACCAGGAGCATACAACCAGTCATGTCAGGCTGCTAACATTTTTGCCAGAAGGATCAATGAGTAACCAGTACTAGACACGAAAGGAGAACTATAGTAAAGCATCTTTATCTATAAGTCAACCGCTAGACCTAAACTTAAATTGCATGTTTGGATTTCTTTTTTTTTAATCCTACAGGTGTAAATAAGTTACCACCACCAAGTGTCATGATAGAGGAAGTTAATGCAAGAAAAGAAAACAAGCCCGGTCGGTAAGTTAAGTATTTATGCACCCTTTTAAAATTATAACTGAAATTGGTAAAAACAATAGCAGAGAGATGGAAGTTACATTGGAGAAAAAAATGAATCATCTGAGACTTAGAAGAAAAATGCTAGGAGAGCCTATTTAAGAAGAGAAGGGAAAGGGGAATTTACAATTTTCCTAGGCCATCCTGGCCAACACAGTGAAACTCCATCTCTACTAAAAGTACAAAAAATTAGCCGGGTGTAGTGGTGCATACCTGTTGTCCCAGCTACTTGGGGGGCTGAGGCAGGAGAATTGCTTGAAACCAGAAAATGGAAGTTGCAGTGAGCTGGGACTGCGCCACTGTACTCCAGCCTGGTGATAGAGTGAGACTCTGTCTCAAAAAA